TCCCATCATTTCTTTATCCAGTTCAGTTGACAGACATTTGGGTTGATTCTGTACCTTAACTACTGTGAATTGAGCTGCAATAACTATGGGAGTACAGATAACTCTTTGATATGCTGATTTAATTTCCCTTGGGTAAATTCCCAAGAATGGCTGGGTCATATTGTAGATCTATATTCAGATTTTTCAGGTATCTCCATACTGTCTTCCACAGTGACTGTACCATTCTATATTCTGATCAACAGTGGATTATGGTACCTTCTCCCCCACATCCTAGCCAGCATTTGTTGTTGATTTCTGTATGAAAGCCATTCTAATGGGGGTAAGGTGAAACCTCATTGTGGTTTTGATTTGCAATACCCTGACAGCAAATGATCCTGAGCACTTTTTCATGTGTCTGTTGGCCATTTCAATTTCCTCTTTTGAAAAATGCCTGTTTAACACCTTTGCCTGTTTCTTAAATGGGTTTTTTTGTTTTGTTGTTGAATTTCTTGAGCTCTTTATAAATTCTGATTATTAATCTTTTATCAGTTGCATAGTCTACAAATAATTTCATTCTGTCTGCTGCCTCTTGACTTTGCTGTTTCTTCCGCACTGCAGAAGCTTCTCAATTTGATGTAATCCCATTTGTCAATTTTGGTTTTGATTGCCTGTGCCTATGGGGCCTTTTCTAAGAACTATTTGCCTATGCCAATGTCTTGCAGGATTTCCCCAATGTTCTCTAATAATTTGATGATATTTGGTCATAGATTTAGGTCTTTAACACATTTTGAGTGGATTTGTGTGTAAGGTGTAAGGTGCAGGTCTCGCTTCCTACTTCTGCATGTGGAGATCCACTTTCCTCAAGACCATTTGTTGAAGATATTGTCCTTGCTCCAGGCATTGATGGTAGCTCCTTTGTCAAAGATAAGTTGATTGTAGATGCATAGATTGATTTCTGGCATTTCTACTCTGTTCCATTGTTCTATCCATCTATTTTTGTACCAGTACAAGGCTGTTTTGATTATAACTGCCCTATAGCATGTTTTGAAAACTGGTATTATGATGCTTCTGGCTTTCTTTTTGTTGTATATGATTGCTTTAGCTATTCGGGATCTCCTGTGTTTTCATATGAATTTCAGCATTTTTTTTCTAGATCTGAGAAGAATGTCTTTGGTATTTTGATTTGGATTGTATTGAATCTATAAATTGCTTTCAGTAGTATGGACATTTTGATGATATTGATTCTTCCAATCCATGAAAATGGGAGATTTTTCTATTTGTTTGTGTCTTCCTCCATTTCTTTTTGTAATGTTTTGTAATTCTCATCGTAGAGATCTTTGAAATCCTTGATTAAATTTATTTCAAGGTATTTGATTTTTTTCATAGATATTGTGAATGAGATTCAACTTAGAAGTTCTTTCTCAGCCATGATATTGTCTGTGTATACAAAGGCTGATGATTTTTCTGTGTTGATATTATATCCTGCCATGTTACCAAACTCTTCTATGAATTACAATAGACTCTTAATGGAGTTTTTGGATTCCCAATATATGGAAGCATGTCATCTGCAAATAGGAATAGTTTGACTTCCTCCTTCCCAATTGTATCCCTTTGATTTCTTGTTCTTGTTTGATGGCTCTGGCTAAAACTTTCAGAACTATACTGAATAGCAATGGTAAGAGTGGGCACCCTGTCTGGTTCCAGAGCTCACTGGGAATGCTTCCAACTTTTCTCCATTCAATAGGTTGCTGGCCATGGGTTTGTCATAAATTGCCTTAATTGTGTTGAGGAATGTTCCTTATATACTCAATTTGCTTAAAGTTTTCATCATGAAAGGGTTGTATTTTATCAAATACTTTCACTGCATCTATTGAGATAACCATATGGCTTTATTTTTCAATTTGTTAATGTGATGTATCACATTGATTGATTTGCGATTGTTGAGCTATTCCTGCATACCTGAGATGAATCTCATTTGGTCTGGGTGAATGATCTTTTGATGTGTTGTTGGATTTGACTGGCTAGTACTTTGTTGAGGATTTTCACATCTGTGTTCATCAGGGAAATTGCTCTGTAGTTCTCTTTATCTATTGTATCTTTTTCATGTTTAGGAATTAAGATGACGCTGGCTTCACAGAAGGAGTTTGGGAGGATTCCCTCTCTTTAAATTGTTTTGAATAGCTTGAGAAGAATTGGAGTTAGTTCTTCTTTAAATATCTGGTAGAATTCAGCAGTCAAACAATCTGGTCCTCATTTCCAGCTTCATTGCATTGTGATAAGAGAAGATGCATGGTATGATGTCAATGTTTTTAATTTGCTGAACTTGCTTTATGGCCTACCATTTGGTCTATCCTAGAGAAAGTTCTATGTACTGGTAAGAAGAATATGTTTTCTGCAACTGTCAGGTCCCTTTGGTCTATAGTGTCAATTATCTGTGTTGCTTCCTTGCTGATTTTGTCTGATTGATCTGTCCGTTGCTGAAAATGGAATATTGTAGTCCTCCATTACTATTATATGGGAGTCTATATCTCCCTTTATATTCATTAACATTTATTTTAAGTAGCCAGGTGCCCTATAATTAGGTGTATACAAATTTAATATTGTCACATTTTACTTTTTAATTAATCCCTTAACCACTGCACAGTGGATGAAAGGATTGTTGGTGTCTCTTGGACAGACTTTTGAAGAAAAGCCCAAGTGTATGATTTCTGTAGGTAATACCTGAATCATGATTCCAATCATGGAATCATTTTTGCATGCAGTGCATGTTTAAAGATTCAAAAACAGAAAAGCACTGTTCTCTATAGCAGCACTGAGATATAGTTCATTAGAGCTTAAATAAAATCAAGAGAGGTGTAGGTGTCTGGGGATGTCAAGACCCCACTTGGGATGCACACATGCCATACCTGAGTGGCTAGGTTCTAGTTCTGGCACTACTTTCGATTCCCCATTCCTACTCACACACACTCTGAGAGTCAGCAGGTGAACACCCAAGTTCTTGGGTCCTGACACCCAACATGAGAGACCCAGATGCAGTTCCAAGATTCACGCTTGGTGACCTCAGCCTGCTGGCTTCTCAGAGAGGAAAGAGTACATGCATTGGCCCAGAGGTGGCCCAGGATCTGTGCCAAACAAGGCCGTCCAATGTGTGCAGAGGGAAGGTGGGCAGGGGGGCAGGTGAGTATAGGTCAGTGTCAGAGGAGGAGCTCTATCCTACCCTGAAAAGGACACAGCCTGGCATGGTTTTGAAGGACAGCAATGCTGGGAGTCCACACTTTGGGCTGCTGGGCATAAAGAAAATCCACACCAGGGAACAGACAAGGGTAACAAGCCTGCCACCCCATCCCTGCCTGCTTCTTGTCCCCCAGCCCTGCCCTCAGGGTGAAGGACAATCTCACGTGGATGGGGAGACCCAGGTCTATACCTGGCCATGACCACTGTAGGGCACTGCAAAAGAAAGACTCCCCAGAGAAAGCCCCTGAGGCACTTCCCAAAACTAACCACTGCCTCTCATGGAAATGCAGGTGACTGGGGCATTGGAACTTGCCTGCCAGCCACCAGCCCATCTGGCTGCTGTGTTTCACCATCAATCTCCCTTCTGGTGCCCAGGGTTGAGGGAACCTGAAGGTGGGACATGGTGAAGCCTCCCAGGACTGTTCCAAGCCACAGCTCCCAGGAAGGGAACACATCGGGAGGAAAGGCCCAGCAGCAGCAAGGTTAAGAGAACCAAGCCTCCTGGGGGCACCGCCCAGGCCACCTTTGTGACTCCCAACAGGGCCTGTTTCTTGGGACCTTGTCACTGTGTTGTAGACTTGGGGCAGGTGCACACATGCCAGCAGGACCTGTGTTCCCATTGCACCTCTGACAACAGTAGCCAGGTCACGTATGTGCAGGGAGCTCACACGGAGTGTCTGCGTGTCTGCCTTGGACATGGCTCACAGACTTTGCCAGTGAGGATCACCATGAACCATTTGTCACTCTTGGGGGTGACCTTGAGATTTCTCTGAAGTCACTTCTCCCTGTAACTTCCCTGAGGCCTCCAAGAATGGCCTGACCACCTGCTGAAGCTGGAGCACTCACAGCCCTGATTCTGTGCCAGGAGGAGGCAGAACAGCAAAAGGGCTGTGATCCATCTTGGTGGAGCATCCATGTTACCTTCAGATTTGAAAGACAGGGTTTTTAACTAAGAACTCTCTCCCGTCCCCAGAAACATGGAGGAAAAGACAAACCGGCATTGGGGTGTGGTGTGCTCTGTGTCCACAGCTTCATCAGGTGGAGCCCTAGGGGCCCTCTCCTTGGAAGGCAGCCCCTAACCCTCCTTTAAGTTCACTTCCTTTTGCACAGGTACCTTTGGAAGGCCACGATGAGCCAGGTGACCCAGTGTCCTGAACACTTGCAGAGAAACCCCTGGTACACGGCCCCCTCTGTCCTCAGCTGAACCCAGGCCACAGTTGGAATTCCTGCCCAGCTCCCACCTGTTGCTGTCTGAGTCCACACCTAGCCAATCCCATACACTGTGATGTCAGAGTCCTTGGCCTTCGGGTGGGGTCTTGTTCTCCATTGCCAATTCAGGTGCACATTGGTATGGACACTCTCAGCTCCGCCTCCATGCACATCACTAATGACTAGAACCTCCCTGCTGTGTCACAGATCCATAGACCCTCCTTCCTGTGCAGGAGCAACCAAGCAGGTTTGAGCCTGTCCTTCCCCTCCCTCTACTCCCTTCCCCTCCACAGCCTCTCCCCACCCACTCATCACAAACACCCTACCACCCCTCACCTCCACCCCCCACACTCCACCATCCACCCCCTCCACTTCCCTTCCCTACCCCACCCACCCCCAGTCAGCTTCCGGGAGCCATCCCTCTCTTCTCAGGTCCAGGAGGTCAGCCTGTGTGTCAGCCCCAGAGCAATGAGAGGGGACCGTCCTTGTACAGGGGAGATCCATCTGGTAGTCAACTCCATCCAACCATGCCAAGGTGCACACCAGGACCCAAACACCACACACGACAGTTCCATGGATAAAGCTTAGATTTTTATTGATGAGAAGCACAGAAAAGTCTCAATCAAATGAGAGCCCTCAGGCTTGCACACTGAGGCAGGCTACCTGGGGGTCCCCTTTTGGCTGCGGGGGCCAGGGCTGCGGGCTGGGGCCGGCAGGCAGCAGGCACGCAGGAGGAATCTGAGGATGCTCCTGCCAATCCTCCTGCCCAGCCCCTGCCGGCCCTTGCTCGGGACAAAGGCTGATGCTGAGTTCCCAGCCTCCTCAGGCTCAGCTGCTGGGACCTCTGGCACCACCAGGTGCGGACTGCTCCCGAGGCTGGGGGTGGAGGGGGTGGCCACAGGGACGGGCTCGGGGGCTGGGCTGGCACCAGGGCTCCTCTCCTGTAGCTGTCCAGGGAGGGGAGAGGCAAGCACAGGGGCGGACACTGCAGGATCCACCTCCGGCCTGGGCTTCGGCTCTGACTCCGCCTCCAACTCCAGCTCCGGCTCCGGCTGCAACTTGGGCTCCTGCTCGGGCTTCGGCTCCCTGAGGCCCTGAGGCACCAGGGGCTCACAGCTGAGAAGGGCAGGTGCACTGTGGATCTCCCTTGCGGCAGCCTGTGCAAGTGAGCCCCACAAGACGGCAAGGCTGGGCAGCGAGGCCGCTGTCAGACGATTGCTCTGCCAACGGGGCTGCACCTGCTCCAGGCTCCGGGAGTCCAACTGCAGGGACATCCGCCTGGATCTCCCAGGGCCAGATGGCACTGCTGCTCCAGCGCCCGGCAGCAGACCCAGGCCCGCCAGGTACTCCTGGGCCTCTGGGTCCTCCGGAACCCCCAGGGGCTGCACCAGGGTCACCTCCTCGCCCTCGTCTCCCTCAAACCACCATTGCTGGCGGGCAATTTCCGCTGTAGGCCTGTCGTATGGGTCCATGCTGAGCAGCCAACTCAGGAGCTCTTCCAGGGCCGGGCTGGCCGCACACGGGAGCTCGTAGCTCCCCCTCTGGATGCAGTCCCGCAGCTCCACCCGGTCTTCCCCATTGAAAGGCATGGCCCCCGCTAGCATGGTGAAGAGGATGACCCCCAGACTCCAAATGTCTGCTGCAAATGGATCATATGGCTCCCGCTGGAACTCCTCCGGGGCGCTGTACTCCAGGGTCCCGCGGAAGCCCTGCACCAGCTCGCCCTCCGGCAGATGGCAGCTGAGCCCAAAGTCCGCCAGCTTCACGTTGAGCTGAGAGTCCAGCAGCAGGTTCTCCAGCTTGAGATCCCTGTGCGCCACCCGCTGTGCATGGCAGTAGCCCACGGCTGCCAGGATTTGGTCAAACATGACCATGACCTCGGGCTCTGGCAGGCTGCCACGGCTCAACACGTGCTGGAAGAGGTCGCCCCCGTCCATCAGCTCCATCACCAGGCAGTGGTAATGGCCGACGCGACCCACCTCCAGCAGCTGCACGATATTCGGGTGCCTCAGGAGCTGCATGATGCTGGCCTCTTGCATCGCTCGCCTGGCGCCGAAAGGGTCCCTCTCGTCTTCCTTGAACAGCTTCGCGGCCACCAGCCGCTGGCTGGACGGCTGGCAGGCCAGCAGCACCCTGCTGAAGCTGCCCCTGCCCAGGACTGACAGAAACTGGAGATCAAGCTGACGGCTGGTGTCGACATCCAGGTCCTCACGGCCTTCCAGGCTGGTGTCCCTAACTACACTCTCTGCTCTGCTCTGGCTAATATTCCTGTCCATAGACGCTAACTAAGGAGCTACCCTAACTACAATAACTAAGAAAATAAAGGGACAACAAGGGGACTACCTGCTGATCTGACTATAGTGGCACACTAGCTATACTAACTACACTAATCACACACAGTGGCAAGACTAAGTCCTATCTAACCAAAACAGAAAACAAAAACCAGAAAAACTCCAAAAAAACAAACACTAAATAGCTACACTAACACTCAGAGATCTAGCAGCACTTTCTAGCTAAAGATGGGGGAAGCCAAAAATGAAAAAAACTGCGAAAAAAAAGACAAAGTGGGCCAAAAAAATAAATAGGTGGAAAAAAACAAACTAAAACAAAATGGGGGGAAGAAAAAACCAAATAGAACAAGAAACAAACAAACAAACAAAACAGCACACCAACACCAACCAACACAAGCGCAAGCAAAGAGGGGTCCAAGCACACAGGTCACCGAAATAGCTCCCTGGTAAAGCGGACAAAAACCTGGGCCACGCAGCCGCTTATATAGGCGTGTGGAATCCTGTCATCACAAGGCTCCTTATGAAGTCAGAGGGAGAAATGGACCAATGGCAGTCCAGCAGGGACTTGCACGAATTTCCATTTCACCACAGTTGGTCTTTATGAAGTCAGAGCCAGGCGGGGACCAATCACAGCCACGGCTAATCCTCAGGCGTTTCCTCAACAAGCTTCCACTTAAAAAAAAAAAAAAAAAAAAAAAAAAAAAGAACTCCAAGATCTTTTGGCTTAGGTTGGTGATACAGATTGATGTTTATTTTTTGAGACAATAAAACATGTAAGATTGGCCGGTGCTGCGGCTCACTAGGCTAATCCTCCACCTAGCAGCGCCGGCACACTGGGTTCTAGTCCCTGTCAGGGTGCCGGATTCTGTCCCGGTTGCCCCTCTTCCAGGCCAGCTCTCTGCTGTGGCCCAGGAGTGCAGTGGAAGATTCCCAAGTGCTTGGGCCCTGCACCCCATGGGAGACCAGGAGAAGCACCTGGCTTCTGGCTTTGAATCAGCGCGGTGCGCCAGCCACAGCAGCCATTGGAGGGTGAACCAATGGTAAAGGAAGACCTTTCTCTCCGTCTCTCTCTCTCTCACTGTCCACTCTGCCTGTCAAAAAAAAAAAAAAAAAAGTAAGATGCCCTGATGGCCTTTTCACTTCTCCTTTAAAGTGTGATAAAAAACTCTTGGGTCTTTAAGACCTCCGATTGTCTACACTCAAGATACACGTCCCATTTCCTTGAACCTCTGAATGATAGGTCCCAGAATGATGTTACAACTTCTCTGGCATCCTCATAACCTTGACAAAGTGTTCTGTTGCCCATGACACCATCAGGCACATTATTCAAAACAACAAAACTGAGATGAAGGGATCTTTCATCATCCTCTCCCCCTAAGATCCTCACCAGATTTCTTGTTAGAACCCCTGGAGGACCAGAGGGAGCTCTGGGTGGGTATAGTCCAGGTACGGAGGCCAACCAAGTGTCAGCTGAGAGAGCCGCATTCTCCAAATTGTCCTTAGAAAAGCAGGGAGAAACTGATGCATGTTTGATGTCTCAGGGTTCCTGGGCTGCTCTCACAAAGTGTCTTGAACGGAGTCCTGGATAAAGAACAGAACTTCATTCCTCAGTGTTTGTTCTGCAGGCTGGAAGGTGAAGGTCAGGGCTCCAGCAGACTCGTTGTCTGGAAAGCGCTCCCTCTCTGCTGCTGCTGAGCCTTCTTCAGAGAGAGATGGGAAGATGGAAAGGCTGGTGGTTTGCTGTGGCTGGTTGAAGCCAAGTACATGTGTGGAGAGTGGCGTTGTAGTCCTTAAAAAAGTACCACACCTTAGTCCAAAACTCCCCAGTAAATTTTAAGGAAAGATCATGGCTTCCTGGGGTGTCCTCAGATGGTGAAAGCACAGACCTCACCCCGTCAAGCCCTTTAGACAGACAGGTAGCCTGCGGCTGACACTGCAGTCCAGCAGGTTAAACCCTGCTACACCAGCATCCCATGTGGGTGCTGGTTGAGGTCTGGGTGTTCAACATCCAATCCAGCTCCCTAGTATCATGTCTGGTAAAGCAGCAAATGATGATCCAAGTATTTTGGGAGACCTGGATGGAGTTCAGGACTGTCCTGACCCAGCCATGGTAATTGTGGCTCTTTGGGGAATGAACCAGCTGTTGGTTGATATCTCTCTTTCCCCTTCCCCCACCCTCTGTAACTCTGACTTTCAAATAAATAAATAATTCTCTTGTTTTTTTTTTTAAAAAAGAAACTCATCCTGTGAGAGAGAGTGGAGTCTTGGTCCTGGATTCCCCACCTCTTTATGCTGTAGCATTGACCTTGCAGTTTGAACATGAAGTTTGGAGGGACATGGACAGTTCTCACCACTAGGCCTGCTCTGCATGAAAGGAATCTGAGGCTGAACTACAGGACCCTGGACAGGATGGCAAAGCCAAAAAGAAATAAGATCTCTGGGAAGGCTAGTTGTCTGGTATGATCGATTTATGCTGAGTGTATGTGTTGAAACAGTGAACTGTAGCCATAAAACTCCAAGTAGTACATGCTAATCCCATATCTAAAATACTCTTTAATTTCTTTCATTGATGATTCATAGTTTTAATTGTAGAGAACTTTTACCTCTCTGGTCACATGTATTCCCACCTCTTTTCTTTTTCCTTAGTGTAGCTATTGAACATGGTATTGCTTTCTACTGATTATTGTATGTTGACGTTGCACTCTGACACTATATTTGTCCTCTCAGGTTTTTGGTGGAGTCATTGTGGGTTTTCTATATGTAAGGTCATATCCTTAGCCAAAAGTGGAAATTGGGCCTCCCGCTTTAATTTAGATATCTTTGATTTTTTCTCTTGCTTAATTTCTCTAGCTAGGATTTCCAGTAGAATGTGAAATTAAACTTGAATGATAATAAAAAAAGAATCTGCCTTACTTTAGTATCTTTAAACATCAATTTTGATTTTACAATATCTAGAAATATGTTTTCATTTCAAGTTCATTTTTAACCTGAATTTTCCAAAATAGAAATCATTAAAGTTGACTTAAAGATTTTATATATACTAAACATCATAGGGTGACCATAATTTATAGGACTATTATCTCTGAGATAAGCCAGTAATATGTTTCTTTAAGAAATACAGAAAGCCACTGCCTGCAGTGCCAGCATCCCATATGGGCACCGGTTCTAGTCCCTGTTGCTCCACTTCCAATCCCGCTCTCTGCTATGGCTGGGAAAGCAGTGGAAGATGGCCCAAGCTCCTGCACACATTTGGGAAGACCCAGAGGAAGCTCCTGGATCCTGGTTTTAGATTGGCACAGCTTCGGCTGTTGCGGCCAATTGGGGAGTGAAACAGTGGATGGAAGACCTCTCTGCCTCTCCTCTCTCTGTGTAACTCTTTCAGATAAATAAATAAATCTTGCAAAAAAAGAAAAGAAAAGAAATACAGAAAGTGGGGCCAGTGTACTGGCATAGTATGTAAAGCCATTGTTTGCTGGCATCCCATATGGGTGCTGCATTGTGTCATAGCTGCTCCACTTCTGATCCACTTCTGTACCAGCTTTGCAGGTACAGTGTTCTGGGTTGACAGTTGTTTCTGTTTGATAGTATCCCATAAATCTCTAAATCTCTGACACTGTTTCTTAGTTTTCTAATTTTTTCTTTAAAAAAAAAAAAGATTTATTTGTTTCTTTGAAAGTCAGAGTTACACAGAGAGAGAAGGAAAGGCAGAAAAATAGGTCTTCCACCCGCTGATTCACTCCCCAGGTGGCCACAATGGCAAGAGCTGTGCTGATCCGAAGCCAAGAGCCAGGAGCTTCCTCCAGTTCTGCCACACGGGTGCAGGGCCCCAAGGACTTGGGCCATCTTCTACTGCTTTCCCAGGCCATAGCAGAGAGCTGGATTGGAAGTAGAGCAGCTGGAACTCAAACCAGCACCCATATGGGATGCTGGCACTGCAGGCGGCGGCTTTATCCGCTACACCACAGTGCCAGCCCCTCTAATTTCTTCTTTTTTTGGTCTGACTGTAAGTGTTCCAGAAATTTTTCTTCTAACTTGGATATTCTTTCTTCTGCCTCACCAAATCTGTTGTTAAGGTTTTCTACCATATTTTTTATTTGTTCTACTGATTTCTTCATTTCCAATATTTGGTTTTGATTTCTCTTTAAATCAAAATTTCTTTGGAAAAATTTTCATTCATGTCTTGTATGGATTTCTTTAGTTCATGAATTTGTTTCTGATTCCTTCTCAGTAATTCTAGGATCAATTTTTTGAATTCCTTTTCTGGCATTTTGTCAGTCTATTCATCTTCACATTCTAGCTTTGAAGTGGTTTATTCTTGTTTCTCGAATTGCTGCATTTATTATTAGGCATTTGTGGTGATTCTTTCTTTTTTTCCTTGTGATCGTTTTTATCTTTGGACTATGCCTCTGTGGCTTAGTGGGGTGTCTGCTCTTTCAGTGAATACCCAGAGTCATATGCTGGGTGTGGTCAGGGAGCTCTGTTCAGTGCTCCAGTACAAGGGAGGTCCAAGGTGACTCCCAATTTGGGTATAGTAAATCTCCATTTTTTTTTTTTTATCATAAGGCAGATTTGTTCTGCTCTGTTGGCATAGTCTCGTGTTTATCTCCTCTCCTCATGGGAGAGCAATGCCTGTGTGGCAGCCCCAGTGGGTACAATTTTCATCCACACTGCCACAAGAACCACACAAATGATCCATACAGTCCTTGGTGTGAACATGAATCCTACAACAATGACCCTTACCAGGGAATGAGGTGGAACACATGGAGTCACCCACAGCAACTGCCCAAAGTCCCAACCATACCCTGTGACTTCCCACACAGCCATAGTGTTTTCACAGGCCCAGCACTCGAGGGCCCTCACAGTCACGAGCTCACAGTGCCTGTCAAGTCTCCAGCCAGACTCAGGTGTCTCCTTTCAACTGGTTGCTAGGCACACGAACATGAGCTGGCACAGCTGTTATGTATTCCAAAATGGCACCTGACCATTCTCAACTTGTTATAGTATGCCAGTGCCGGGTGGTGAAGGAGAGAGAAATGTGCCCCCTTTTTTCCTCTCTAGGTTGGCAGGTACACTGTCCCCCACAAAGCTCCGAGCCAAACTCAAGCCAGGTTCTTCCGCAACTTTATCGCCAGTGGTTTTGGCTGCTGCACTCTGGTCTCACCTCACTCCAAAGCTGGTGCTGAGGCTGTTGGTTCCTGGGGTCCCGAGCTGTGTACTTTTACTCCCTCCACCTAGATCCACGGTGTCCCCCTAGTTTATATGGCCTCTTCTCTGCCATTTTATTCCAAAGCCTTCCCTAAAGTTGTGCTGTTTAAAGTATATGAACTACACGTATTTCATGTATACCAATTTAGAAACATAGTGATACTAACCACCCTACCCTCCCTCCTTTAATAAACATCTTTAAAATTTTCATTTACACAGAGGATGGGATTGGAAGTACAGCATAAAATATTTGTAAAACATCGAATGATGAAATTGTATGTGTTCAGGAAAGACATTTTTGTTTTACAGAATGATTTTTGTACATTAACAGCAAGCTAGTTTCTTTCCTTCTCTTCTTTCTTCCTTTTTTTTTCTGTATTGCTGTCTCTCCACTGCCATGAGTATCCTTCAGTATGTATATAGTTGTGTTTGTGTATCTATCCACTTGTTGGGCAGTTTAGTACCATTGAATTCCTGTGTCCACACTCAAACCTCCATCTTCTAATCATCATTCCAAGGTTTTCCTGTTTACTCCCAGTCTTTGAAACTTGTGTGAAGTAAAGAAAGTTTACAGAACAGAAAGTTTAGTTTATAAGACAAGTGTCTCAATCTGACTTCATAACTGTAATATCTTGTGTATCCCTTGTATCATTTTTAGGGTCATCCATTAATATTAAATTGATACTACTATGTAATATTATATATGCCTACATATGTCTCTCACAAACACAGACTACTAAGCAATAAAATTAATTTATGGTCAGAAATCTGTTCCATCTAAGTCAAAGCCCAGAGACATTTTCTGTAAACAACCAGGTTACAAGTATTTTAGGAGACAGTCTCTGTTACAGCACCCACATCTGCATCAACACCCACAGACAACACTGAAGGAATGGACATGGTGGTGCTGCAATAAAGCTTTATTTACACAAATCTCCAGCTGGGTAAGGCCCAGTAGACTGTAAGGTTTAGGTGCTGATCTACATACATCACACATCCCCATTGTTAGGCAACTACTCTTTGTGAAGCAATGCCTTGATACTAGATATGGTGGGTTTCTGTCAAGTTCTTCACAATGTTGAAAAGACTGAAAGAACCCATGCTGGTACTTTTGGTTGGGAAAGGATAAAGCACACTGTACTGACATTTTAAAATTCACCTAAGTTCCTTTGCTGGGAAAAAAAGTGAGTGAGCAGGAATAGACATCTTAGAGTAAGAATTTTTAAATAATATTCACCATGTTTAACAATTACATTCATCAATAAAATAGATGCATTGGCTACATATTATATGTAAATTCATTGATGGAAAAAGCCCTTAGTAGTTATTTAATTTAGTAATTATTTCCCATTCTTTCCTGCTCACAGTAATTTCCTGACAATTCTTAAAGGAATGAAAGAGTGATAGATGAATAAGAAAAGACTAATAAAATAGAGAACATACAAAATCAGAATAAAGTAGTGTTGCAATGTATATGCACAAGTAGGACTTCTTATGCATATGTATGTGTTAATATGCACTTCAGGCATAACAGTAGAAATGCACTATGGGTGCTTGAAAAGCAAGAGATTTTTTAGTTATGTGTATAAGAAAACAAACTGTAGATATCATATAATATGTTTCCAGAAGAATAATTAAATGACAACTAAATAAGACTCATTCATTAATACTTTGATACAATTTGAACAATTTCAATTTTCCATACATTGCAAACAGTTAAAAAATAGTTTACTGTTGATTAATTCATTTTTTAACACGGAAGATAATTTTCAGATTGTATTAAATAACATTTTTCTTTTCCTTGTTTCAAGAATCAAATGTTGGAACCATTTAAAGAAGCTGATTATTCATCAGACAAACATGAAATTATCACTCAGGGAGATTTAGTTTTTAATAATATTAAATAATAATCATTGATAAACCATCTAGTTTATAAGTAAATTAGTTCAAGTTTCATAAAACAAATGTATTTTGTTAAAATTGTATTGATTGTGATTCACTAAAATTACATGTCATTTCCACAATACATGCATACTTCTTACCTCTCTAACAGGGCTTTTGCAGGTCATTAGGCAACCAACAGACCATTTAGATTGAACTCTTTGTTTACTCCCTATAACATATCAGTTGCAAATGGTTTATGGGTAACGATTAATACAAGGAACAT